AAGGCATACACATGATTTAAAAGCACATGAAAAGATGTTCAACATCATTAATTATTAGAGAAATGCAAATCAAAATATAAGGTGTTTACATAAAAGGCTTTTTTTAGGGCAAATTTTTATAAATGATTTCACAGAAAAGGAAGTCACTTGAATTCCATAAGTCTCTGTTTTCTCCTCTTTAAAATGAACTTGATTTGAATACCTGCCTCATATATACGCTGGGAGGATTCAATGAATCAACCCATGTGAAGTGAAATAATATGGCAGCTCACATAGATTACAGAAGTTAGCACTGTTATTGAAAACTAACTATTTTTTAGACATGTTAGACTTTATATACTAACGTATACTCCTAACATTTTATACTAACATTTTCCTCCAAAAGTGCACACTTGGTCTCAGTGACTCTTGAGAAAGAGAGGTGTGCAGATGTGTGCTAAGTTGATTCAGTTGTGTCTGACTCTTTGTAACTCTATGGACTGTAGCCCACCAGGCTTCTCTGTCCATGGGATTGTCCAGGCAAGAATACTGGTGTGAGTTGCCATGCCTTCCTCCTGGGGAGCTTCCTGACTCAGGGGTCAAGTTCACTTCTCTTATGTCTCCTGCATTGGCAGGCTCTTTGCCACTAGTGCCACCTGGGAAGCCCAGAGAAAGAGAGGTAGAAGACCCTGATTTGCACTTAGGAAAACCAGGGTCCAAGGGCTTTGTTATGGTGCCATTGTCACCAGACAGGTTCTAGAATCAGTTCAGCCTAAAACACACCACCTTGCCTTAGGGATTTTGTTACTGGTTTCCTCCCAAGTCTCAGATCTCTATATTGTTTTTTTTTTTTTCTTTTTTTAAATAGAGGATTGGAATAAAATGAAAGTTAACTTTTAGGAGCCTGGTGGGCTATAGTCCATAGAGTCACAAAGAGTTGGACACGACTGAAATGACAGCACACACACACAATGTCTCTCAATTCTGTGTATAAAGTTGCATTATTAGAGGAACTATGGAACAGAACTGCAAAACAAACAAGAAGCCCCGATTCCCAGGATCCTTGCCCACTGATCATTCATCATTCTTTGGAAAACACTCAGGATGGGAATGGCAATCCACTCCAGTTTTCTTGCCTGGAGAATTCCATGGACAGAGAAGCTTGGTGGGCTAGTCCATGGGATGACAGAGTTGGGCATGACTGAGCAGCTGACACACACACACAGGAAGCTAAGATTTCCCAATGACAGGGACGGGGGGAACCCATGCCCTGCCCATCACTCAGAATCATTCCTGTCCAAGGTCCCACATCTATCAGGCTCCAGGCCAGAGGCAAGTATCAGATCCAGCTCAAGTCACTGCTGAGTGCTAGTTCCAAGGAAGAGAGACACAGCAGCCAAGAAAGCTGCCTCCACTTGTAAGAGACAACCAGGCAGCTGGATGGAACAGCTGCTGAACTTCAGTGATTTGCGATGTTGATTTATTTATTCCCACTGAGGTTTCTCTGATTCAGATGCAATCCAAACCTTTGGAGGGAAACACAAAAATGTAAAGTCATTTGCCCACAGGGCCCTCGAAACACCCAGGAGAGTTCTAAAACTATTCCTATTAAGGACACATAATCACTCAGCTCCATCCATCAAACACCTTAGCGGTCAGGAATGTTCCCAACTTGTTATTCTAACACAGCTTTGGAGACCTCACATCCTCCACATGTGTAACTCGGGCATTCTTGGGAACTATCCTTACTGTAATATGCTTTTACTTGGAAGCCGTTAGGAAAAGTGGGGGGAAGACATGGAGGAAGCCATCTGGCCAGACTCGGGGCCCTTTTCTAGCACCCACTGGCTAACAAAATCTGACCTATTTCTTAATATATGAACTTCCACTTACTGAGTAACACAGTGATTATTGCACTGGGGTGGCTCAGCTGGTAAAGAATCCACCTGTAATGCGGGAGGCCTGGGTTGGATCCCTGGGTTGGGAAGATCCCCTGGAGAAGGGAAAGGCCACCCACTTCAGTATTCTGGCCTGGAGAATTCCATGGGCTACAGTCCATGGGGTCACAAAGAGTCGGACACAACTGAGCGACTTGCACTTCACTTTTATTATCTTACATTATATGTATGTATAGCCATGTATATATGTATAAGCCATATATATATATTCTAAAGTGGTACTAGTCATAAAGAACCCCCCTGCCATTGAAGGAGACATGAGAGACGCAGGTTTGATCTCTGGTTTGGGAAGATTCTCTGGAGGAGGGCATGGCAACCCACTTAGGTATTCTTGCCTGGAATCCCAAGGACAGAGGAGCCTGGCCAGCTGCAGTCCATAGGGTTGCACAGAGTCAGACATGACTGAAGCAACTTAGCCTGTATATATATATAGAAAGATAGATGGATAGATAGATAGATTTATTTCACACAATGATCCTCTAAGATAGGCATAGTTAGTATTTCCATTTTAACCTAGCAGAGAGTGGCTAATAAGTTGTCCATGGTATCAAAGCTAATTAGTGGCAGAAAGTTGAAAGTGAAAGTATTCAGTTGTGTCCAACTGTGAGACCCCATAGACGTAGTCCATGGAAATCTCCAGGCCAGAATACTGGATTGGATAGACTTTCCCTTCTCCAGGGGATCTTCCCAACCCAGGGATTGAACCCAGGTCTCCTGCATTGTGGGCAGATTCTTTTCCAGCTGAACCACCAAGGAAGCCCATTAGTGGCAAAGCCACCAGGATCCTGATTTCAGAGTCTTCACCAGACCACCTCAACCGGAGCTGAGCAGGAAAGAACAAGGAAGATCCAGATTTCCTGGCCTCTACTTGGTCCCTTTTTAAGTAATTGGAGACCAATTACTTTAGATGAGAGCTTAGAGACCATGCAGGCCAGTAAGGGGACTCTTTTAATCTTGTGCCCATGATGGACATGACCAGTCAGCCACATAACTGCAATCTACTAATGCCAGGCAAGTTCTCAGAGTCCTTCTCAATACACCTCTCTGTGTAACTGTACAAATTTGATACATGAATGTAAAGGAAAAACCTGCAAACCGTCTTGCAATGACTCCATATCACTATTCAATTCTGTATTCACCACAGTGACCCCATTAAAGACTCTAATGAAGGACTTCATTAAAGACCCCACTAATGATGACTTCCCCTTACACCATCTTCTGCTAGGCAGCATAATGTTATGCCTGAAGAAGATACACGTGGGTTTTTGTCTCCTTTTCCTCTTTGGTGTTTTTAGCCATCAGGCTCCTTGTCTGCAGTGTGTGCTCAGGGAATAATAAGAACAAATGGCTGGTTTTTCGAATGTGTTCCTTGAATCCTTAGGGTAGGGTGGCATGTTGTCTTTGTCATTTAATCTCTAAATGTGTCTGACTCTTTTGCAACCTCATGGACTGTAGCCTGCCAGAATCCTCTGCCCATGAGAATTTCCAGGCAAGAATAACTGGAGTGGCTTGTCATTTCCTTCTCCAGGGTATCTTTCTGATCCAGGGATCGAACCTGCATCTCCTGCATTGGCAGGTGGATTCTTTACCATTGAGCCACCAGGGAAATCCTGTGAGGGCAGGGGGTCACCTATTCTGCTTCAAACAGAACCTATCCATGACAGTCTATTTGACGAACAGCATTTTGCTATTTGATTTCAATTGGAAAAGGCTTTAGCAGCTAAGTGAATAGCTTAGAAATGCACAGGAACCTCCATACTGTTTTCCACAGAGCACACACACCAATTTCCACGCCCACAAATAGTGTACAGAGATTCCCTTTTCTCCACATCTCGACAACACGTACTGTGTCTTGTCTTTTTGATAAAATCCATCCTAACAGATGTGGAGTGATATCTCATTATGGTTTTGACTTGCATTTCTGGGGTGGTGATTATCAAAGTATACAAACATTCAGTTATAAGATGAATGAGTTCTGGGGGTCTAAGGCACAGCAAGGTGACTCGAGTTAATAACACTATATTATATACTTGAATAAAATAGAATTGGAAGGACTGATGCTGAAGCTGAAGCTCCAATACTTTGACTACCTGATGTACACAGCTGACTCACAGGAAAAGACCTTGATCCTGGGAAAGACTGAAGGCAAAAGGAGAAGAGGGCAGCAGAAGATGAGATGGCTGGATGACATCACCTATTCAATGGACATGAACTTGGGCAAACTCTGGGAGATGGTGAGGGACAGAGAGGCCTGGTGTGCTGCAGTCCATGGGGTTGCAAAGAGTTGGACACAACCTAGAGACTGAGCAATAACATCAACAATATACTTGAAATCTGCTAAGAGAGTAGATTATAAGTGTTCTCACCACACACCCCCCACCCAAGAAAAGTAACTGCGTGTGATGATGGAGGTGGTGGATGAATGAGTTAACTTGCTTGTGATAATAATTTTCTAATGCATATAAATGACAAACCATCACACTGTACACCTTCAATACATAACAATCTTTATTTCTCAAATATTCCTCAGTAAAGCTGAGTAAAGACTGCACAGGAAGAGGAACTATTCAGTTCTGATGTTCTAGGACACTAAATTATCAGGGAACTAAGATTCTCTGACTGCTAGATTGAATTATGAGGGTGAGATTCTCATGTGCTAGAGTTTATGGGTTCCCAGAGACCTGGAAATGTTCAGAGTTGCTGAGATCTCCTGCATTTGGATGGGAGCCTAGGAGAAGTCTTAGGGCCCCTTTCTAACCTTCAAAATCCTAAAGACCACCACATGAACATAGGGACCAGGGAAGGTACTTGAATCTCCTTATCTCTTCATGCCCTCAGTCTCCTGGATTCTTTTTCCACTGCATAAGGTTCATTTCAGAGAAAGCAGAGCTTCTTAAAATGACCCTCTAGATTACCATCTGTGCTCAGTCATTCCACAAACATGGTTTAAATGAAAAAAAAAAAAAAGTGTCAAGTCCCCACCCCCAGTTCACCTCTTCTGTCCTGTTAACTTCCTGGAATCTGTAACAGCAATTTGGGACCTGCCTTCATTATGATTCATTCATGACCCTGACCAGGCAAAAGCTTCCCTGGATGCTCCCACAGACCCTGCGCTGTCTTTAAAAGGCACACGGAGCAGCCAGAGCTGCAGAGAGCTGAGACAAACTCAGGAACCAGCAGCTGTCAGGCTGACGCTGGAGACCTCGCCCCCCGACATGAAGGTCTCTGCAGTGCTCCTGTGTCTGCTGTTCACAGCCGCCCTCTGCAGCATCCAGGTGTTGGCTCAGCCAGGTAAGCCCCTCTCTCTGTGAAGAAAACTGATCACTGCCTTCACTGTCGGATCAGCAAGAATCTTCAGAGACTTGCTGCAAACTTCCTCATTCTAAAGATAGGAAAACGGGTTTCATGAGTGGACAAGAAGAGCCTCAGCCTCACAATCAGAGCAAGAGACAGAACTAGAAACCCAGGCCACTGAGCTGGTACCCCTGTTCTTTCCTGACATGAATGTTGAGAGCAATGCTGTATCCATCCATGATCTGGATGCCCTTGCATGTTTGAGGATGGGGGAACATGAGAGAACGACTTCTCTTACTGGGGCATAGAGGGGATTTTTGTCAGTGATGGAGAGAAAAAAAAATCTTTTGGTTGTACACCCCAGATTTTTACTGGACTCTAAGACAGCCTTTGGGATCAATGGTTAGGGGAAGGGCATCAGGTCCCGGGTAATCTCTCAAGGTGATGTGTTTTGATTCTGTTTGGGAAAAATATCTTTATGTTTGTACATAATACATGTTTTCACCCTCTGATGACTTAGATTTACTGTATTATCAGTCTGAATAAGGCAATGCACACTGGGATAACAAAAAAACCTAAATTATCAGTGGCTTAAAACAACAAAGGTTAATTTTCTTACCTGTACTGAACATCCATAATGTATTGGCTAGAGCTTTGACTTCATATACTCAGGATTCTGGATGGATGGAGCAACTGATGGATTGGAAACATTACTGCTTATTGTAATGAAGGAAAAGAACGGTCTCAAAGGTCTTGCACTGGTAATTACAAAAATTAGCTTAGAAATGGCATTTGTCACTTCGTCTCCTCACTTTTGGGTCAAAATTAGCTAATGGTTCCAATCAACCAAGAGTAGCAGAGAAATGTGAGTCTACTATGTGTCCAGAAAGCAGAGAATGGAGACTATCTGGGGAACGGTATTATGACTTTGGCACAGCTGCATAACTCTTTGTAAAGACAAAGTAGGAGTGTATGGCATTGACCAAGCTTTTCCCAAATCCTTGCCTGTAGCAATAGGTCTCCATTGCATAGCTGGGGACACCTGTCAGCGGCAGAGGTACGGGATCTGAGAGCAAAGAGATTCTGTCTCCATCTCTTACATTTCTTTGCCTTCTCTTGAATTTCCTTCCTTACAAAGTCATACTTAAAAATTATCTACATATCATTAGTGCTCATGTCTTCTGCTCACTTCTCCCCCAATTCAGCTTCTATTCCAACCATCTGCTGCTTTAAAGTGACTGGAAAGAAGATCTCCATTCAGCGACTGCAAAGCTACAGTAAAATCACCAGCAGCAAATGTCCTCAGAAAGCTGTGATGTAAGTAGACAAAACTTACCCTCTCCCAGTCCCAAACTTCATTTCTGGGGGAGAGAGTTCTTGAAACAACACTAGAGCTACCTGGAACTCTGCACTTAGTTTCATCTCCCTCATCCAATTCCTGAATTTTCACAACAGGAAATTTTCACTCTAGCTGTCTACATGGACGTTTATTCAGGTCATCCCAGTTCCTTCGAGTCAAGAGCAAGGATGGCCTTACTGATCCATCAGGAGCAGCCACTCACCGTCAGCATCCCACCCTTCCTCTCTCCCCTACTCCTGCTCACTCTGCAGGCCCTTTATCCCAAGGCAGATGGTCCTGGAAGGTTTAGGATTAAACAAGCACAATTTTCAAAGAGGATCCTTAATATTTTCTTCTCTCCCACAGATTCAACACCAAACAGAACAAGAAAATCTGTGCTGATCCCCAGGAGAAGTGGGTCCAGAATGCCATGGAGTACCTGAACCAAAAATCCCAAACTTTAAAGTCATAAATATTCACCTTTAAAAAAGAAAATTCACCTTTTAAAGAGCCTCAAAAGGCTTGGTTCATTTTCTGGTTCTTCCTAAGATGTATTCTGAGATAATCACAACTTCATTCTAAAAGTAATGGCTTTTATTTAATAATAATAATAATGATTAAAAAAAAAAAAGATAGTGCTAAGTTGTGTCCGACTCTTACGATCCCATGAACTGCAGCCCGCCAGCCTTCTCTGTCTATGGGATTCTCCAGGCAAGAATACTGGAATGGGTTGCCATTTCCTTCTCCAGGGTATCTTCTTCACCCAGGAATTGAACCCAGACCTCCTGCATTGCAGACAGATGCTTTACCAACTGAGCTACCCAGGAAGCTCCTTAATAATAAACCATGTATGTTTTATTTAAGACATTCTCCATTTAAGTTATTAATGCTTTGAAAAGTTCTCCACCATAAATTTTTGCTATTTTTAAAATGTAAAGCTTTGGTTAGGTCCCTTTCCTTCAGTGAACCCCAATTCAATCCCCTGCAAAGGATGAGGAATGTTGTCTCTTTCCTCCTTACCTCCCTGGAATCTTGTAAGTGTCCTGGCAAGGATCATCAAAAGGACAGTGTTTTGTATTTTTAAGAAGACGTCGCTCAAGGAAAGAGTGGAATGAATTGAGAGAATAGCATGGAAATATGTACATTATCACATGAAAAATAGATAGCAAGTGAGAATTTGCTGTGTAGAACAAGGACCTCAACCCAGGGTTCTGTGACAACCTAGAGGGGTATGATGGGGTGGGAGATGGGAGGGGAGTTCAGGACAGAGGGGCATGTGTACCTGTGGCTGATTCGTGTTGATGTGTGGCAAAGGCCAACAGAGTATTGTAGAACAATCGTCCTCCAATCATTGCATTTTATTCTATACTTCTCAATAGTCTACAATGATAATCACTGATAATTAAAAAAAAGAAGACATCACTGTCATAAACCAAAGGTGTGACTCATAATGTTAAATGGAAATACATGTTATTTTAAGAATTTATAAAAATACATTTTTATTACCATCTGTGGTTGTACTTTTTGTGGGGAATCCACATTGATCTGGGAGGGAGAAAGATAGAAGAGATGAGAGGTATGGTTATGGAGGGGGGACTGTGTTCCTGAGATATGGTCTTTTGGTTCTGCTCATTTTCAATGAGATTCAGGGCAGGGGTTGGAGTGGGGTGTGAAATGGAGATGACCAGACCAGACAAAACCTTTCCATCCCTCTACTTCCCATTCTCCCAGAGAGGTTTCCCAGACCCCAAGTACTTAAGTCTCTTATTCAGCAGGACCCTCACTATCATTCCTTTCCTGGTCAGCGCCAAGTTTGCCCCAGATTTTCCTCTCATGACCCACTGCCACCTGTGATATTCTCCCGTGCCTGCTTTATTCCTCTGATCATTCCCCTACCCAGGATAAATGGAAAACAGACATCATGAAGTCAGACAATCCTTGACAAGAGGTTTATTCAGACCATAGCTTTATGAGCGCTTAAGGAGGATTCATCGTGGCACTTAAACCTGGTCTTCATGGATGGAAACGTACGGGGACTCTTGGAGAGGGTTTTTGAGCGGCTCAGATGGTCAAGAATCTGCCTGCAATGGGGGAGACCTGGGTTATAGGGTGCTCTATTTCAAACATAAGCAGTGGGTAGTTATCACAAGCAGATGGTTTACATGTTTACAAAGCAATTTCATTGGTCAAACACACTTTAAAATTTTCGCGCGCAGGGGACTCTCCCGGAGGTTTACTGGGCGCGTGCTGATTGGCTGGTCTCTGGTGGCCTGTTGAGGGCAGATAATTACCCCACCCTCGGGAGAAACTGAAGCTTAGGCTTACTCATAGTTCAGCGCTAGTTATGCCCGTCTCACATTCCCCCCTGTCTTGTTGTCCCTGTAGAGGAATCTTTCTCTTCACCATCCTGAGCCACTGGCTGATATTGTTGCCTCAATACCATAATCTGAATGGTGTTTAGGCATTGTTTAACAAATGACATTAGCCGGTTTAAAATACAAGGGACAAATGTCAGTATCAATATTAATATTATGAGTGGGCCCAGGAGGGCGGAGACCAAGGTGGTCAGCCAGGGGGAGTTTTGAAACCAAGATTCAAACCATCCCTGTTGGGCCTCTTGTTCCCTTTTTCGTTGCGCAAGTCCCTCTCTTAACTTTTGCCATGGATTCTCTCACTACTCCGGTGTGGTCCGCATAGGAACAACATTCTTCTCCCAGAGCCGCGCAGACCCCACCCTGTTGGAGAAAAATTAGGTCTAACCCTCTCCTATTTTACAAGACCACTTCAGACAAGGATGTCAAAGATTTTTCTAAGTGACTTATTGATTCTTCTATGCAAACTATGTCTTCATCTATAGCGGCCCGCAGGGAGGAGAGCCCTTGGCCCTGCAAAGATAATAAAGCTATTCCTGTCCCTGCTCCCGCCATTCCGAGGCTGAACAGGGCTGCCACAGTGATTGCGCTAATGGGCTCTCGTTTCTGTCTTACTACTTCCCGGTCCCAGTGTGAGTACATTACCTCCTCAGAATGGTATAGGATCTTTGGCATCACAGTGACGAGAACACAGAATTCTTGGCTCGGGTTAAAAACCTTCACATTTAAACATGGTGTTAGCCCAGTGTATGAACAAACCCACCATCCCCCGACTTCGGGCACTAGCCAATTTTTGCCAGGTAAGCTGATATTACCAATAGTCTGAGCACAAAGAGAGGTCTTATCCCTTGGTACTGTGCCCAAACAGACCCCCTGTCCCCATACCTCTTCCATCATGAGGCCTATCTCACGCTCTTCCTACCGGCATTGAGGGGGGTTGGGGTCTGAAGACAAGCTGCAGGAGACATTGAGGCCTACGGCCTCATAGAAGGGGGGGGCGGAGGTTATAACAGAGCCAGCAGGATGGGGTCGCATTTGGGTCAGTGTGGTTTAGAGCCATAAAAGTGGCATTTACTATGGCCCATAGGGGGTCTTGAGTCACTGAACTAGCAGTTACAGTTAGATGGCCCGGGGTGTTTGTCAGATTACCTCCGGTGCCTGGGGTAGAGGAGGTGCTGCTTGACCTCAGTGAGTCTGGCCTGGAGGTGGTCGTCTTAGGGGTTGTCTTGTGCCCCAGTGCCGTTTTGACCAGGTTGGGACCCAGACTATGTACCTGTACTGGCTCAATCACCTGTTTTATGGTCAAGAGCTCACCTGGGTAAGGGCCGGGCCAAGCCACATGGAACTGGAAGCCCCAAGTGAGCCCTGCGGTCCAGAGGCTTTCTTTTGTTGCTCGGTCCTGGTTGAACTGTACCTGTACAAAAGGCCCTTGGTGTTTGGAATCATTAAAGATGAATCTAACTACATCTCTGTTCCCGACGTCCCACCTCCGGGGCCCATCACATGAGGTTACACAGCTCCAGCTCGCACAGTGATAGCTTTCCATACCCCCACAAGTTTTCCAATTACCTCTAATGTTGCCTGGGCAAGCGTAAAACCCAGGAAGGTCCCCCACTCCATAAGTGTGGGCATATGCGTCCCCCATATGTCCACCCAGGCTTCCATATAGCGGAGTGTGTAGCCCGACCCGGCGTACAGAGTCTCCTGAGGTTAAAGTACAGGTCTGGCCACCAGGTGTTGAGAGGGTGGATTCCTGAGGTTTCCTTGATCACCTCATGGGTCTGTCCGTCGCTGAGCTTCCAGGTGATCTTGAATGGTTGGTATGGATTGGATATTCCTGGGTTGATGAGAATTGCCACCAGTAGGAGACTCAGGAGGCCTCTCGTCGGACGAGTTTCAGTTTCAAAGGATTTGACGGGTGAGGACTTGCCTTCCATTCTGCTCGCGCTCTTTCCTGTTCCTCCGGAGTAGCTTGCCGCACGTGATTGCAGTGAACCCAGGGTCCGATCCCGTCAACCTTAACGGCGGTAGGGGTGGTAAGGAGAACAACATAAGGGCCTTTCCATCTAGGTTCTAATACTTTAGATCGGTGCCGTTTTACCCAAACCCGGTCACCTGGGTCAATATTATGTGCGGGGATGGCCACCTTGCTTTGACCCTCATGTATCTCTCGAATCAATTTCCAAACATGGCTATGCACCTTACTTAATGCCACAGAGTTTGCTGGAATTGTCCCAAAGTAGGGGGTGGCAGGCACTTACCCTCGAAAATAGGACACACAGGAGGGGGTCTTCCATACAGAATTTCAAAAGGGGTAAGATTCAGCTTATAAG